CTACTTTAAGAGGTTAAATTTAAGGCTTCTGATAATAGATGTTGTTTTTTTTTTTTTTCCCCAGAGGATAATTTGCCTCTTGGAAATCCTAGAATGCCTCATTTTTTCAGCTTTATACTCTTCCCTCCTCCATGACCACCTGCCCCAGCCTACTCAGATAGTACTGCTGTCTAGGATTGCTGTCTTTGTTCTGCTCATTTTATCACTTTGTTGCCCTATTGTCGTTGCATGAATTGTTATAGATTTTGAGTATGCAATGTTTTATTTCTCCTATGACCTGAGGTGTTCAAATGTCTGTTGTACTTCTCCAAATAATGTAGTTGTTGTCTTAAAATGAGAATGCATTCTGTGCTTTAAAAGTGTGTATGTAGTCTTTACAAATTTCCAAAGGTAAATTGTGTAGAGCTTTTCTTATGCTTAATTTCATGAGTCAGTTGATCATGGAGAAAAAAACATGAGGTACTTGTAAACTATAAATCAGAGACTAAGAAAACATGTGTTAGAGACTTCCGCCAAGATGGAGGCATAGGTGGAAGCACAATGCCTTCTCACAAAACCAACTTTAAAAACAACAAAGTTTTAGCAACAAAAATGCAGCGAAACCACAGAAAATTGAACTACACAAAAGTCTGACAACAATGAACCCTTCAGCCAAACTGGTAAGAGGTGCAGAGCCAGCAGCAGGGCAGGGTCAGGCAGGAAAGATCCACTGGACCAACCTGGGTGCTTGACCCAGGTGTGCCAGCAGCCGTGGGCAGATCCCAGGTGTGGAGTAGCAGCGGGCAGACCCACTGAGGGTGCAAGGCTTTGAATCCACTGAGGGCACAAGGCGGTGGACCCACTGAGGGCTGATTGTGGTCACACATTCACACGCAGATAAACCAGTGAAGGAGCGGTGAAGGAGCTAGCAGTGAGACGGACTGTGCAGGCCCCAGTGGCAGGAAGCAGCAGAGGGAACTGCTAGTGTCCCTCTCTGACCCCGCCCCCACATACAACATCACAAACCAGAGACCTGGGTGGCCCCACCCTGGTGAACACCTAAGGCTCTGCTCCTCATACCTAACAGGTGCGAACAGAGCAAAACATTATGGCTCAAGAACAGCTCAAAGGCCCACAGCCAATAACTCTAAGCGACGAAGAAATAACAAAACTTTCAAATGCACAGTTCAAAACACTGGTGACCAGGATGCTCACAGAACTGGTTGATTTTAGTCACAAATTAGAGGAACACATGAAGGCTAAACTAATTGAAATGAAGGAAAACGCACAGGAAACCAATAGTAATGGAAAGGAAACTGGGACTCAAATCAAGGAAGTGGACCAGAAGGAAGAAAAAAATGACCAAACAGAGCAGGATGAAGAAACAAGAATTCAAAAAAATGAGGAGAGGCTTGGGAACCTCCAGGACATCTTTAAACGCCCCAGCATTCGAATTATAGGGGTACCAGAAGGGGAAGAGGAAGAGCAACAAGTGGAAAATTTATTTGAACAAATAATTAAGAACTTCCCCAATCTGGCAAAGGAAATAGACTTCCAGGAAATCCAGGAAGCTCAGAGAGTCCCAAAGAAGTTGGACCCAAGAAGAAACACACCAAGGTACATCATAATTACATTAGCCAAGATAAAAAAGAAGCAGAGAACCCTAGAAGCAGCAAGAGATAAGGAGATAGTCACCTACAAAGGAGTCCTCATCAGACTGTCAGCGGATTTCTCAAAAGAGACCTTACAGGCAAGAAGGGGCTGGAAAGAGGTATTCCAAGTCATGAAATCCAAAGACCTACATCCAAGATTGCTCTATCCAGCAAAGCTTTCATTTAGAATGGAAGTGCTTCTCAGATAAGATCAAATTCAAGGAGTTCATCATCACCAAGCCCTTATTCTATGAAATGTTAAAGGGGCTTACCTAAGAAAAAGAAGATAAAAAAGATGAACAGTGAAAGGACAGAAAACTCAGTTATTAACAACCACACCTAAAACAAAAGCAAACTAAAAGGACAGCTAAATCAGGAGCAGAACCATAGAAATGAAGATCACATGGAGGGTTAGCAACAGGGGAGTGGGAGGAGGAGAAGGGGGGAGAAGGTACAGAAAATAAGTAGCATAGATGGCAGGTAGAAAATAGGTAGGGGGAGGGCAAGAATAGTATGGGAAATATAGAATCTAAAGAACTTGAAACACGTGGTCATAAACTAAAGGGGGAAATGGTGGGGGAGTCATGTATAGGGTGAAGGGGAATAAAGGGGGAAAATAGAACAACTGTAATGGCATAATTACTAAAATACATTTAAAAATAAACATAAAAATAAAGAAAAAAGAAAACAGTGTTATAGGTTGTCATTCTTGTTTAGATAGGCAGAAGAGTGAGGATTTAAGATAGCCACTTTGGGAAAAGGATTGCACTTTTTATAAAATTAAATAAGCACCTATTTACTACCCTGTAATTGTACTGTGTATTTACCCAAGAAATATGAAAATATACTATCTACAAAGACCTATACAAGAGTTTATAGCATCTCTGTTCATAATAGTAAAAAATTTGGAACAGTCCAAGTGTTCAATAGGAGAAAGGCTCAATCTAATTGTGGTGTATTTATACAATGAAATAAAACTTGGCAATAAAAAATTATTGATACATGTAAAAAAGAGTGCCTGTTGTAACATATGAATCATCTTGCATCATTTGTCCTTTTCTAGACTAATTTGAAGGATAATGAGAATCCTTAGTAGATGTCTTGCTTGACTTATTTTCCTTCTGAATATCAGAATGCTGTACTACACAATAGGCACTAAATAAATGCACATTGAAAGAATTAATGAGACAATCAAAGGTTTTGGAAACCTTACTCTTCACTTTTATAATTCTCGATTTATGAATGAGAGATTCAGGCTAGGAATTAAAAGACCTGGTTTCTTTTTTTTTAATACTGCTTACAACTTTAATATGAAAGTTGTAATACCTCACAAGTTAGTTTCAAGGCCCCAGAGACATAATAAATAGTTTTAGACATTTAAGTATCTTATAATTTAACACACAACTGTGTCTTGAGCAGTATATACAATAAACTGAAGTCATTGTTAGTGCCTTTGAATAGATGCCAGCCTCACTGGGTATACCAAAAAGCACAGGTCCACAAATGTAAAATGAGATTGTATGAGATGTGTGGGATGACTCTAGGATATTTTTTTGTTTGTTGGTTTGTTTTAGATAATACAAATGATATGTTGAAGAAGGTATTGGATGTAGATATTATAAAGAAAATGGCATGTCTGTGAAGCATTTAAGTGGAATGAACCTGTCATCTACATTAGTGTTTTTCAAACTTGGCAATATATAGAAGAAATAAGGACACTTTTAAAACATAAGGGCATCCTAAGAGCCCTAAGACACCAATCCAAAAGAACCTATGCACTCCAATGTTCATAGCAGCACAATTTACAATAGCCAAGAGCTGGTAGCAACCTAGGTGCCCATCAGTAAATGAATGGATCAAAAAATTATGGTACATATACACAATGGAATTCTATGCAGCAGAAAGAAAGAAGGAGCTCCTACCCTTTGCAACAGCTTGGATGGAACTGGAAAGCATTATGCTGAGTGAAATAAGCCAGGTGTTGAAAGACAAATACCATATGATCTCACCTTTAACAGGAGGCTAAACAACAAAACCAAAAAGCAAGCAAAATAAAAACAATGACACTGAAATAGAGAACAAGGGAACAGTGACCAGAGGGGAGAGGGGAAGGAATTTCAGGGGAAAAAGGGGAAGGATTTACAGGAACTAGTATAAAGGACACATGGGCAACAACTAAAGGGGGTGGAAAGGGGAGGGAGGTGGGGGGTACGGGGGGTGGGCTGGGATGGGGTAAAAGACAGAATACTGTAGTTGAAAAATAATTAAATAAAAAAAGATAAAAGAAAACATCATTGCATAGGCTACATCTCAAACCAATTATATCAGACTGGGGGTGGGTGGGATAAGGCTTGGGAATCAGTATAATTTTCTGTCCAACTGGAATCTTCCCAGTTGATTCCAGTGCATAGCCAAATTTGAGACTGAATATTCCAAAGCTCTGCTTCTCAAACTTTAATCACTTGGAGATTTTGTGAAGTGCAGAATCTGATCCAATAGGTATGTGGTGGAGCCTGAGATTCTGCATTCCTAATAAGCTGCCAGATGATGCTGACACTTTGAGAACAAGAACCACACTGAATAGTTATTTCTAATATATATATAAATATACATGTCAGGTAGTAAAAGAAGGGACATGAAGATAGCATTTCTTTAGTACCTATGTACCAGGCATTATGCTGGTATCTTTACATATATTATGTCATTTAATATTGAAAACAGAAAATAATACAATAATAATAAGAAAAATATTATTACCCCAATTTTAGAAATGAAGAGTCTTAGGTTGAATGTGTAAATCATTGTCTAAGTTGGATAGCTATTCATGATGAAACTTGAATTCAAACATAAACATGCCTGACAGCAAAGCCCACAGGCCAAAGGGAATGTTGGAAACCCTTAAACAGGAAGAAGTGTTTACATTTGAAATGGAAGGCAATGTCTTTGTAACAAAATCTTCATTGGATCATCTTATGGGAGTTCCCATGTTCCCAAGTTTGATTTCATAATCTTGCCTCATGTAATAAGTATATCTATGCAAGTAAAGAACATTCCTCTAGGCTGGGGTTGTGCTCCAATATCATGTTATCAAAGATCTCAGAGAAGTTGGAGTGCAATGTGAGTAAATACTAATAGCAAACTAGTAATGCTAGTAAAGAATGTCAAAATTCTAAAGCAAAACACATGTTTTTCTACTACTGATATCAAAAAGTCATTGATTCTGGGGAAAGAAATTGTGTTTTCTGAAACTATTTGGCTCTGACTTCTTGAATATTTTAAATTTTTTTCCTAATGAAAATGTCCCTTAAGTAAAGATAGCTCAGCTCCTGTTTTGTTTTGTTTTTTAAGTAATTTTTTCTCTCCTTTCAGGAAGCTTAAAAATGAACTCTTAGAAGCAAAACGTAGAAGTGGGAAGACTCAACAAGAGACAAACAGAGTCTGTGCTCACTGTCAAAAAAACCTGGGCTTAATATTTGACCGGGGAGACCCATGCCAGGCTTGCTCCCTGAGAGTGTGCAGTGAGTGTCGGATGTCGGGCTCTGATGGCAGCTGGAAGTGCACTGTCTGTGCCAAAGTCGCGTGAGTTTCTGTCTTTTCTTTTTTTTATTGTTGTTCAAGTACAGTTTTCTCCATTTTCACCCCACCACACCCCCCACCCCACCATCCGCACCTCCTACTCTTGATCCCACCCCCTATGGCTTTGTCCATGTGAATTTTATACATGTTCCATGTTGCTTGGAAAACCAGATTTGATGACTGAGGTTATTCAAGTGAGGAAAGCAAGAAGGAAAAAGAGTATTTAAAATTTATGAATAGAATTTGGGATTAAAAGAATAGCCCAATCACAGACTCAGCAAGTCCTTGGCAGAGCTCTGTTATGTGGTTGTGTGTGTGAGAGAGAAAGAGAAAGAACAGGAGAGATACAGAGTCAGAAAAGGTAGTATTTTTATTTCTTAACACTATAACTTTATAGTAAAATTAGAAGCCTCACAGAACAAGGTCTCTTCTGCATTTGAAACCCATCCAGGAACTTTCTTTCATTATAGCCCCACTTGGCTCTACATGGCTTTTCAGAAGGCACAATTACCCTGAGATATTGAGACATTTGGGGTAACAGGCAAGATAAATATGAAGTATCAGGCTGCTCTCTCCACATCAAATGAGGGACATAACTGGAGTAACTCCTGAATTTCTTGCCAACTTAGTTCTTGAGAAAGGGTAAAGGGAAACAACCTTCTCATTAACCTGTGTGTTTAGCCTATTGGAGTACAGTGATCTTAGGTTTCACTATGCCAATCTGGGTGTAGGTCAAGAATCATTGTTTTCTAAGTTCACTTAAACTGGTGTCTGAAGCATGATGTGGTCTCAACTACTCCCGGGGCTGACCGAATTCCATCCTTTTGAGAAGTCTCCCCTTTGATCAACAGGTAAGTTTTCTCTCTCCCAAGGTCCGTTCATCTCCTATATTTACTGGGAAGTACCTAATAATTTCATCTTAAGACAACTCTGTTGATCTCTGCTTCCTATGGTTAAGGTGGGGGGATGGAATGCTAGAATCACTACAGGTTGGTTTGGTTTGGTTCATTTGGTTAAGTTTATCTTTAGTCCTCACTGAAACATCCTCTTATAGGTGTTAAGAAGCTACTTTAGGAAGGAAGTGAATAGTTTAGTAGTAAGACTAAGTGATCTTCCATTTCCAACTTCTCTGAATAATAGCTATCATATTTTTCAAGCTGTAAGACACACTTTTCCCCTGCCACATTTGGGAAGAATAATAATTGTGTTTTTAAATTTTATTTTAATTGTTCAAGGACAGTTTTCTGTCTTTTACTCCCATCCCAGCCCCCCACCAGTGCTCCCCACCTCCCTCCCATTTCCACCCCCCTTAGTTTTGTTCATGTACCCCTTCATACTTGTTCCTGAAAACCTTTCTTCCCCTTTTCCCCTGAAATCCCCTCCCCTCTCCCCTCTGGACACTGTCAGCCTGTTTTCTACTTCAGCGTCTTTGGTTATATTTTGCTTGCTTGTTTGTTTTGTTGTTTAGCTTCCTGTTAAAGGTGAGATCCTTTGGTATTTATCTTTCACCACCTGTCTTATTTCACTTAGCGTAATGCTTTCCAGTTCCATCCATGATGTCACAAAGGGTAGGAACTCCTTCTTTCTTTCTGCTGTGTAGTTTTTTATTCCACTACTGTCGATGCTTTTTTCCTACAATCTGGACCCTCATCTGAGGAACTAGGGACTATGACTCATGAGCCCTTCAATCAAACAGTAGTTGCCTCAAACTTATATATGGGAACAGAAATTTTGTATATAATTTCTAAATGCCACTTGCAATTACTGAAGCATACCTTTAAATACAGGACCCAAGTAACATATGTATTCAAACATTGTATTTTTTACTGTTTGTTTTTTAAATTTTTTATTGATTATGCTATTACAGTTGTTCTATTCCCCCCTTCATTCCCCTCCACCCTACCCCCCCATCCCTACCATTACCCCCCTTTAGTTTATGACCATGTGTCTCAAGTCTTTTAGATTCTATATTTCCCATGCTATTCTTGCCCCTCCATCTATTTTCTATCTACTGTATATGCTACTTATTTTCTGTACCCTCTCCCCCCTTCTCCTCCTCCCACTCCCCTGTTGCTAACCCTCCTTGAGATCTTCATTTCTATGCTTCCACTCCTGATCTAGCTGTCCTTTTAGTTTGCTTTTGTTTTAGGTGTGGTTGTTAATAACTGTAAGTTTGTCGTCCTTTCACTGTTCATGTTTCTTTAACTTCTTTTTCTTAGATAAGTCCCTTTAACGTTTCATAGAATAAGGGCTTGGTGATGATGAACTTCTTGAATTTGATCTTATCTGAGAAGCACTTTATCTGTCCTTCCATTCTAAATGAAAGTTTTGCTGGATAGAGCAATCTTGGATGTAGGTCTTTGGATTTCATGACTTGGAATACCTCTTTCCAGCCCCTTCTTGCCTGTAAGGTCTCTTTTGAGAAATCCGCTGACAGTCTGATGGGGACTCCTTTGTAGGTGACTGTCCCCTTAGCTCTTGCTGCTTCTAGGGTTCTCTGCTTCTTTTTTATCTTGGCTAATGTAATTATGATGTGCCTTGGTGTGTTCCTTCTTGGGTCCAACTTCTTTGGGACTCTCTGAGCTTCCTGGATGTCCTGGAAGTCTATTTCCTTTGCCAGATTGGGGAAATTCTCCTTTATTATTTGTTCAAATAAGTTTTCCACTGGTGGCTGTGCCTTTCCCCCTTCTGGTACCCCTATAATTCAGATGTTGGAGCATTTAAAAATGTCCTGGAGGTTCCTAAGACTCTCCTCATTTCTTTGAATTCTTGCTTCTTCACTCTTTTCTGTTTGGCCATTATTTGCTTTCTTCTGGTCCACTCCATTGATTTGAGTCCCAGTGTCCTTTTCATTGCTGTTGGTTTCCTGTGCAATTCCATTCATTTCAATTAGTTTTGCCTTCATATATTTGTCTAATTTGTGTCTATAATCAACCAGTTCTGTGAGGATCCTGATGACCAGTGTTTTAAACTGTGCGTCTGAGAGTTTTGCTAGTTCTTCATCGCTTAGATCTATAGGCTCTGGGGCTTTGAGATCTTCTTGAGCCATTTTTGGTCTGTTCGCACCCTTTAAGTGTGAGAAGCGGCGCCTTGGACTCCCAGGTTGCTGGGTTGTGACTCTGTATGTGGGGGCGTGGTCAGAGCAGGGAAATGGTGACCCCCTCTGCTGCTGTTTCTCACTGCTAGGTGAGGAGCAGTGCCTTAGGTGGTTCACCGTGGCCGGGCCACTCAGGGTTGCTGGGTTATGACGCTGTATGTGGAGGTGGGGTCAGAGCAGGGAAATGGCGGCGCCCCCCCTTTCGCTTGCTGTGGGGACCCTCTGGGTTCTTGTCCAATCGCCCACTCCCTTGCTTGTCTATCCACGCACAAATGCACAACCACAGTCAACCCGCAGCCCTGCTCCCTCGCTGTTTCCCCCGCGGTCGCTTGCTTGGTCACTCGCTCGGTCACTCGCTCGGTCGCTCACTAGGTCCAACCCTGCGCCTGGATTCGGTGCTCCTGAGTCTGTCTGACCGAGTTTTCCCGTGCAACCCCGCTCCACCAGCTGCTGGTTTTTTCCCCTTACTGGTCAGGCTGAAGAATTTGTTGTTAACAGACTTCCGAAAAGTTCAATTTTCTGTGTTCTGGCTGTGTTTTCTGTTGCTAATATTTAGTTGTCTATAAACTTGGTTGTGTGAGAAGGCACGGCATATCCACCTATGCCTCCATCTTGGCGGAAGTCCTGCTTTATTGTTTCTCAAACATTGTTAATTGAAGATTTTGCCATCAACTGTCTACCTGTCAGTATGGATGGTAACTGCAAGTGTAATTCACACAAATTTTCCCCTAAATCTTGTCAGATCCACATTAGTTTATATTGAGAGATAAATATTTAACATATTAATGGACTCTGGAGATTGGTTGTTACAGATGTAGCCTACCCAAACTAATATGAGGTGGCAAAAGTAAGTTTACAGTTGTAATACAAATAAATAATACAACAATTAAAATAATAATAGAAGAATAAACTGTATTTTGTATACTTACAACTGTAAACCTATTTTTACTCTTGCCTGTATAACCACTTCCTGTGTTTTTCCCCTTAACATTCATATGCCACATAGTTTATTTATTTATCTTGTTCGTTACCTTTCTGCCTCTACTAGAATATACATTTTATCTCTAGTGTTCACTCGTGTAATTCTAGCGCCTAAACAAATGCCTATAATAAGCACTCAATGAGAGGATGCTGGGAAGATGGCGACGGAGTAAGATGGAGCTGATGCTAGCTCCTGTACTCATGGCTGAAAATCCTGGCAGATCTATAGAGAAACAGCACAATAAACCATTGGTTAACCAGCATTTATGAAATTAAAAGACCAGAGATTGTGACCGACGCTGAAACACCAGACGACGGCAGAGTCAGCTACTGGACCTGGGTCTCACGCCTCCCCTGTGCTGCCGCCAGAGCAACAGGCCTGGGAGCCAGGGAGTCAGGTATGGGAGCCAGGCACTCCAAGCCCCTGTGACGGTCCTGGGAGACAGAGGAGTCAGGAACCGGAGCGGGGACATTCTCAGCCCCTGTGCCGATGTCATAGCTACTGGCCTGGGCAATGGAAGGGTCAGTTGCAGGAGCTGGGACACCAAAGGCCCCTGTCACGCTGCCATAGAGACAGGCCTGGGCCCGCTACGGGAGCCGGGATGTTCATAGACACTGTGCTGCTGCCATAGTGACAGGGGTGGATGTTGGGGAGTCGGGTACGGAAGCCGGGACGCTCCAAACCCCTGTGATGCAGCAGAGGAGCCAGCTACGGGAGCCTCGACGTTCTCAGCTCCTGTGCCGCTGCCACAGTGACTGGATTGGATGCCGGGGAGTCAGGTATGGGAGCTGGGATGCTCCAAACTCCTGTGATGGCCGTGGGCGGCAGAGGAGCCAGATACAGGAGCGAAACATTCTCAGCCCCTGTGACGCTGCCGTAGTAACGGGCCTGGGTGCTTGAAGAGGCAGCTACTAGAGCTGCAAC